ATTTTCTCGTGATTTCTTATCCGATATATTCTCCAAAGCAATACCTTCTGAGGATTCATTTGATATTAGCAACCAACTGCACGAAGATGGAACTGGTTTGGGTATTAATGTAGAAAATCATGAACGTAAGGGCTGGTCACATTTCCATAATTTGGCACAAGAAACGTTTGTTCAAAATGATGTTTCTCTTATTGACCAAGATCACATTGGGTTTTCATCTGCTCCCAAGACTGTTGGAGACAATCTTACTCCTTCAACAACTATAATTCATGAAGATTCTCAACTCAATTTTGGTGATGACCAGAAAGTGTATAGGATAAGTGGACACGACACCACCAATTTTCTTTCACGTTATGATCATTCCCGACTGAATGGCGTCGATAGTTCGCAATTTGACGCTATGATGGAAAACCTAAAGACGTTAGAGTATGGGCATGAGGTACACTTCAGTTCTTACTATGGATCTATAATTCCTCTGTTTTTATTAGAAAATTGACTCATAAACTGGGATGATCCTTAACTAAATTTTATACTCCTGGCAGGATGCTAAGGTAGAATCTAAGGGCAGTGGCTTACCTCCTCATGATCCTTCTTTGGGAAATTTTGATCCTAATACATTACAGGTATAGTTCTTTCATGCTATTAAATATATGATATCCTCTCCTGCTGCCTGTAAATCTCCACGAAGTATGGAAAGTGCGAAACATTGGGAACTTCCTGGGGACTTCTTCTGCCCCTTTAAGTTTTTACACATCAGCCCTGCTGTAAAACTATCTGTTTTTCCCTTTTAACTCTGGTTGCTTAATTTGAATAGAAGATCAATTTTAGATAGACTGGCTTCTGTTTATTACCCCCTTGCTCTTTCAGAATGTGTACTATCTTTGCACTTTGCTTACCTTCTGCATGCACATATTAGATCATAAAGAACAATGATCTTGAAGAGTTGAAGGAATTGGGTTCTGGAACTTTCGGCACTGTCTATCATGGAAAGTGGAGAGGAACTGATGTTGCAATTAAGAGAATAAAGAAAACTTGCTTTATGGGTCGATCGTCAGAGCTAGAGAGATTGGTAATTTTAATTTGTTTTAGCTATTTGTTGATGCTGTATTATACTCGTTGTTATTACTATTACTATTATTTCTGGTATTTTTCAACAAACCATTAGTTCCTGGCGTTTATTGGGGGGAAATAATTAAGAAATTGTGGTGCTACGTCATAGTGTTGTTTTTTTTTTCTTTAATCGGGGTACGGTTTCTATTTGGGTTGCCGCTAACACCGTCATGTAATCTTATTTTTTTATCTTTCGTCCCCTATAGACTGTAGAGTTCTGGAGGGAAGCCGATATTCTTTCAAAACTTCACCATCCCAACGTGGTTGCATTTTATGGTGTTGTGCAAGATGGTCCTGGTGGAACATTAGCTACTGTGACAGAATACATGGTTGATGGTTCACTTCGACATGTTTTGCTTTCCAAGGATAAGTAAGACCCCAGCTGTTTCTTTCTGGTTTTGAGTTCAGTATATTTCGGGATCTATACAGATATAAACCAAAATTATATCACTAATACAGTGACTAAATCGATAGTTTCAAAGAGATGAACTTTGATTTATGCCCCAGTTTATTTTCATAGTCACATTTCCCATTTTACAAATTTTTAACTTGCAGGCATCTTGATCGACGTAAGAGGCTAATAATTGCAATGGATGCAGCATTCGGAATGGAATATTTACACTCAAAAAGTATTGTCCATTTTGATTTGAAATGTGATAATTTGCTTGTGAACTTGAAGGATCCTCAAAGACCAATTTGCAAGGTGATCCGAGGGTGTTTATGCTGTTTTCTTATGTCTGTCCATTTAAAATATATTTGTATTTCTATGCGTGACCCACCTTCTATTTCAGGTAGCTGATTTTGGCCTGTCAAAGATCAAGCGAAATACCTTGGTGTCTGGTGGTGTAAGAGGAACCCTACCATGGATGGCACCTGAGCTACTAAATGGTAGCAGCAATAAAGTCTCTGAGAAGGTGATGTACATGTGTCAGTCTTTTTGAATGTCCTACTAGAAAATTAACCAGTGTTTCTCTGTTATTTTATCTACCATTTGGATTCATTGAAGTTCTGCATGGCATGGAAATTTCTCAGTTGCCTGTACTTGACAGTGAAATTTGAAAATATTCCAAGCACTCTTGAAATCTGCATGGACGGTAGTTTGTTTGCATGCTTTATTTTCAAATTTAAAACGCTTGTAGTTTGTGGGAATACAAAAAACACAACTCTTGCTACATTGTACACACATTGACACTATATGCCATATGATTAACACACATCGGCAAATATTCTATATGAGATGGCCTAAGAAATAATTCCAAATCTATCCTAGTTGGAAATGACTTAGATACGAAACTCTAAAGCGACTGTTCTATTGACTAAAAGCCATTTGATATACAGGTTGATGTGTTCTCTTTCGGTATTGTATTATGGGAGATTCTCACAGGAGAGGAACCATATGCCAACATGCATTATGGGGCTATCATAGGTAAGAATATCTAGACTTTAACTTCTGTCCTGCACGTTAAAATACTATCTCTGTGTTGATTCATGCACACGCTGACCTTTCTTCTCCGAATTCAGACATCATAAATCAAGCTAAATTTTAATAATAACAGTTTCAGTTCTATGGGAAACCTAGCAACCATATACTAATTCAACGCGTCCCTATGGTGTCTGACTAGTTTTTTTTGTAATTGCCAGACAAGTATTATTTTGTTAGATGGAAACCATTTTTGTTGGCTGCCTTCTCTTAATGTGGGTCTTCTTCGTTGTATGTTCATGAAAGTATGGCTACTCATAAGAAAAATAAACTAATTCTTAGTTAGGCTCCCACTGGTTTTTACCATTTGAGCACACAAGATTAGCAATATGAGTGATTTTTAATTGTCGCCAAGACGAAACTTGATCTCAAGATATCACTTCTTATGTGCAGGGGGTATTGTGAATAACACATTGAGACCAACCATTCCAAGTTACTGTGATTCTGAATGGAGAAAGTTGATGGAACATTGCTGGGCGCCAAATCCTTCAGATAGGCCATCCTTCACAGAAGTTGCAGGCCGTCTGCGTGTTATGTCAACAGCCGCTGCTAGCCAAACAAAAGCACAAGGTCCCAAAATACCAAGGTCATAATCATCTTTCAAATGGATTGTTGAGTTACTCATATGCTTTCTTATATATTTGTTCATTCTATTCTACAGTCTTGAAAATTGTGTGTATTTTTGTCAATAGAAGGTAGATAAGTGTTTTGGTGTGAAATATACTGTTGAACCTTAAATATAATTCTTTATTATAGTTTATGCAAAAAAACTGATAAAAGCTAGTTAGGAGGGCTTTGCTGCCATTGATTTCCAGCCTAGTTCCTGATTTTGAGCGGTTCACAAATTCAATATCTACTTGTTTGAATTATGCAACTCTCGTATTCATTTCCCTTTGTTGAATGATGAAAGTCCTATGTCGGCTAATTTAGGAAATGATCATGGGTTTATAATCAAAAAATACTCCCTCCATTAGGCCTTTTGGAGAAGCCCAAAGCAAAGACATGAGAGCGCCATGAGAGGTTATGCTCAAAGTGGACAATATCATACCATTGTAGAGAGTCGTGTTCGTCTAACACCCTTTTTGTTAGATTAATGTGTGATTTGTAGCTCGGTGTTGTTATCTTTTCATAAAGATTTGATCCCATGATCTTCTAGAAAAACGGTTAAAAAAATGGCTGTTTTAACCTTTTTACATACAATCCAGGTAACTTTCGTCTATTCCTGTGTTTTCAAAATTCTTTACTCTAAACCCTAATTTGTACTAACTTTTATTTAATCTTTGCATTTTAATATTTTTCTATGCATACAAATACTGGTTTTGGAATTTTGTGTACAATAAATAAATACCTATCATTTAAAAGTACAAAAATGAAGAAAGTTCATAAACATTCTCATTTTCTGATAGGAAAAAAAGATTATAAAAAAAGGAATTCCCAATCAGAAGGGAGCTTAGGTTATCAAAATTCTAAAAAATTATGTTAAGAGAAATATATTAAAGAAAAATACTAACAAAAACTTAGGACCCCACATGTACACTAAATTAAGGAATATCAAAATTTTGATGATGGCAGGTGAGATTCTTATTCAACTGTCAACTGTCAACTGTCAACTGTCAACAGTCAACTGCTTTGAAGTTTTTTCTTTTCTTCTCCTTTTGTTCCTTCGCTTCAATAGTCCTTTCTCTGCCAATGTTTATAATTTCTGTTTCTTTCGTTCTTTCACTTTCTCCTCAAATCCATCATCCACCATTTTCATTTTTGCCACATAACTAGCCTTGTAAACATGCGTACAAACCTTGCAAGCTGCATTAAACTCAAATTCACATACAGAAATCGTCGCCCTATCATTATGAAATGGGACGACTGAGATGCTCAAGCAGCGTCCCATCATATCGATACGGCGATATCTCTACTGTTTCGTCAAACTTATAGCTACTTGAGGTGTAAAATGACTGATGCAACTATAGAGCTAAGAAAATTCATAAGCTTCAGAGTGAAACAAGTTTCTTAGTTTCAAACAACCATTGGTGACATGATTCTGCCCATAACACTACAAAACCTGTGCCTCTAGAGCTGGAAATGAGTTATGTAGTTCAGTTGGCAAACAGTAAAAAATACACTGTCAAAAAGAAACAAAACAAAAGAAGCCAAAGCATCCGATCTTACCTTTGAATCATTCTCAATCTCTTCAGTCTCCTTGAATTCAAAAATCTCCAGTTGCTTTCCAAGATTGGCCTCAAATCATGCTGGCAGCCCATATGAAGTTTATCAAAGGTAAGAAAAACAAATAAATCTCAAGAAAAATACTAGCAAATCCATTTTAACATTACACCATTTGAGGTTGTTGTTCATGGCAGTTGACGTATACTGTTTCCTTTGAGGTTGAAGGTTCAAATCTTTATACCCCACCTTTGTTGTACTAAAAAAAAAACAGTACATTGTTTCTTTTTACAAGAAAAACGGTATATTGGAGAGCGTTTAATATGACAGCCAGAACAGCTACGATACAATAGTACAAGTATAATGCAGCTTACTGATGTAGTCGCCCATTGACTACATCTATGAAAAGCAACTTTTTAAAGACACTTATTAACATTTGATGCTGAGCTCATCTCCAAGAAACATGTCGGAATTAAAAGGTTACAATTATCCACCACATCAGTGACGTGCACCTGGGTAACAATGCTCACGGCGAATCCTCCTCTGCCTGCACGTGCAGTACGTCCCACACGGTGTACAAATCTCTTGGACATCTGAATTAAAATGTTACTATATTTATATCACGAGCATTATGGGAACACTTCAACTTGAGCAGAAGAAATCAATTTAAAAACATGGAATGTTGTAGTTAATAACAAGATCAACGGTTGGAATATCCAAACCTCGACTAGCAACATCGGTCGCAAGCAATACTGGAACTTGTCCTGATTTGAACCGATAGAGCGCAGCAAGCCTCTGAGACTGTGACTTGAATGAATGCAATGCTGCCACCTCCTGATTGAGTGTTTCAAGCAACAACCCTAACTGGTGACAACTTCTGCATACGGTCGAAAGAAAGAGTAAACACCAACTTTAGTCAATTAAATATGAAAGTTTGCAGAACAAGAACACCGAACACCGAACACTGAACATCAAACACCTAGGAAGTTAAGACGTATGTCAATGTGCGTGTGCACGCATGTGAGCGAGAATAAGGAGAGGTGAAGGCCAAAAAGAAGCCATACTTGCAAGTTTGGACAAATATGATAGCTGATCGGATGCCCATGTGTTCCATTTTAGACAAAATGTGGCGTAGAAAATGATTCTTCCTGTCCTTTGGAATTAATACATATTGCTGCTTGAGCATATCAACTGTCTTGAAGCCTTCATAGGCCTCGTAAAAGTAAGCTTTGTTTGCAGAAAGCTCAAGCAGTGTTTCTAGATTCTTTGTCAATGTAGCAGAGAATAATAGAGTTTGACGGCTAAGTGGCAAGCATTGGAAGATTACTTTCAATTCTTCTTCAAAGCCAACTTCCAATAGTCTATCTGCTTCATCGAGAACTAGGAACTGAAGGTATAAAAAGATGATTAAAACGTCAAGAACATAAGCTGTTTGGCTTTGAAGAGTTTAAAAGGCTATGGGGTTATGTAGCTAATGAAAACTTGAACAATATGAACAAAACAAGCAACTATGAAACACGAATAAAACTTCTTTAGTTTTAAATTCATCACACATGGGAAAAAGAAGCACTCTTTTTCTTTTGCATTGTTACGTAGGCCTTATTAAAGGGGATGAAAAGTATAACAACCCAAATCCACCACTAGCAGATATTGTTTTTTTTGGACTTTTCCTTCCGAACTTCCTCTCAAATTTTTTAAAACGTGTCTACTAAGGACAAGTTTCCATACCCTTAATTGCTTCGTTCCTCTCTCCAACCGATGTGGGATCTCACAATTCATCCCCCTTCAGGGCCTAGCGTCCTCACTAGCACTCTTCCCTTCTCTAATTGATGTGGGATCTTACAATTTACCTCCCTCAAGGCCCAACGTCCTCACTAGCACTCGTTCCCTTCTCCAACCGATGTGGGATCTCGCAATTCACCCCTCGAGGCCCAACGGTTGAACACAACTCTCTGTGGGAAACACTTGCACTCTTTATTAAGACCAATCAGAAAAAGAATAGTATTTATCGCACTCTTTATTAAGACCAATCAGAAAAATAATAATATTTACTAGAGCCTACACAACTCTCTATGGGAAACACTCGCACTCTTTATTAAGACCAATCAGAAAAAGAATAGTATTTATCGCAGTCTTTATTAAGACCAATCAGAAAAATAATATTATTTACTAGAGCCTACACAACTCTATGTGGGAAATCGCACTCTTTATTAAGACCAATCAGAAAAAGAATAGTATTTATCACATTTATCGACTCTTTATTAAGACCAATAAGAAAATAATAGTATTTACTAGATACTAGAGCCTACGCACCTAACAAACAAATCTAAATTTAGATTTAACCGGTCTAAATCCATTCCTCCCTCCAATCAACATTGTGAGGGGAACAAATAATTCTTTATAATAGTGTCGTGTGAATCCATTCCTCCCTCCAAAGGGGAACAAAACATTCTTTATAATGGTGTGAAAATCTCTCCCTATCTATCGACATTATGAGGGGAACAAAACATTCTTTATAATGGTGTGAAAATCTCTCCCTATCTATCGACATTATGAGGGGAACAAAACATTCTTTATGGTGTGAAAACCTCTCCCTATCCGACATTGTTTTAAAAACTTTGAGGATGTTCATTAATCAGTCACCAGCATTAACCAATACCCATTAATCCTCTAACTCCTCAATGCTCATCAAATTCAAATTAGGTAGTACTACGAATACCCATTGTACAATAGATAGGAACAAGGTTCGAATACAACGAACCTTAGTCTTGGAAAAGACGACATGGATATCAGGGTTCTCCTCCAGCAACACCTTAACCCTTCCCGGCGTTGCAATTACAAGGTGAGGCCTCTTCAACAAACTCTGCGTCTGGTTCAGCATATCCATTCCTCCAACAACCACTGAGCACCGCAAGTTCAAGCCGGAACCAAGTGCCCTAAACTGCTCAGCCAATTGATAGCCTAATTCCCTAGTGGGAGTGATCACCAACGCAAAGACACCAAAAGGTGTCTCGGAAAGGCGTTGAAGAATCGGCAATGCAAAGGCAGCAGTCTTCCCACTCCCAGTTTGGGCAATACCAAGCACGTCGAGGCCAGCAAGAATCTTCGGGATACAGTGGGTTTGAACCGCCGTAGGCTTCTTCATAGCCAATTCTTCGCAAGTCCGTGCGATCGCTTCTGACAAGCCGAGGTCGGCAAATGCAACATCGTCGGCGAATTTAGTGCCAAGTTCTGTGGATTTCTCAATCGGAAGAGGCTTCTTCGGAGCAACGTTGTCGACGGCGGAAGAAACAGGGGCGGTGCTAGGATTCTCGGAAGGTTTATGGTTCTTTCGATGAGGTTTTGAGAAAAGAGGGAAATTCTCGTCGACGATTATTACTTCTTGATTCATGAAATCAGAGATGACCGAACAAAATTGCACCGAAATTTGATTGCTTCACCGCCAAGTAATGTTCACTGTTCAAAGCCAGTTCATTAGGGAAAGCCAGTCGATCAAAAGTGAGCCAATGCGACGGAGGCGAGAGACGTGGTAGAGAGCGGCTAGGTTCGAATAAGCTGTGGTAAAAAAAAAAAATCAACTTTTCCTTTTTTAAAAAATAACTCTAATTTTTTACGAAATTACAATATTACCACTGACATAAATATTTTTAAACTATCATTTTAGTAAATTAATCATAGATTATTCATTTAATTTTATAATTAAAGGTAAATTTTGTTTGTTTCTAAAGTGTATTTAATAAATAAGTAATGAAGCATTAAAATAATGTTTACCCAAATTATTAAATTGATTTTGTAAAATTTTAAGAGCTAAAATTAAATTTTAATAACATAACAATAAATTTAAAAATGAATTGTCCTAAGGTCCAATTCGGATAAATTTTCATGTCCAAAAGGTCTCATGCCAATAAAGATGTATTTCTTACCTCCTCCCTAACAATCTTCCCATTGAACAAAGTACACTATAGAGCTTCCCCTTAGTCGATGTTCGACTCCTTCTCTAGAGTCCTCGAACAAAGTACACCCTTTGTTCGACACTTGAGTCAATTTTGACTACACTTTCGAGGCTCACAACCATTTTGTTTAACATTTGAGGATTCTGTTGATATGGTTAAGGACATGACTCTTGTGACTTTGTTTTTGAACTTTCCAAAAAATCTCATACAAATAGAGAAAATATTCCTCAATTATAAACACATTATCGAAGTGGACAAAAACTTGCATCACACAATCTAGAAATCATGTATCGTCAACCTTATCTCAGCGATAAGAGAAATCTGTGATCAAAACCACAAATTGATTAATACCCATTCGTTATCACTGTTCTTCCTGTCCCAATCTCTTTCTCCCTCCACAAATCATAATCGCCTTCCCATTTCTTCCACATAAAACGACTCTCCCAAATCGCCAAATTCCGCCCGTCTCTGTTTCTCACTCACAGCACCCACTTCATTTCTCCTCTGCATCATCAATGGCGTCTGCAGCTTCCCCTGCCACTTTCCATCTCCTTCCCACCACATCCTCTTCCACTTCTTCAACCCGCTCCGCCCTTCTTCAGTTTTCCCCCACCGCCACTTCCTCTTCCTCAATCCGCCTCCGCAGCGCCCCCATTCAGCGCCTTGGCTTTGCCGCCTCCGACCCACTTTTCTCCCTCCATGTCGCTTCCAAGATTCGGTCGTTTCGGGGTAAGGCTTCGAGGGGCGTGGTGTCCATGGCTAAGAAGAGCGTTGGGGATTTGACTGCATCGGATTTGAAGGGGAAGAAAGTGTTCGTGAGGGCTGATCTGAATGTGCCCTTGGATGAGAATCAGAATATTACTGATGACACTAGGATCAGAGCTGCTATTCCGACAATCAAGCATTTGACGGAGAAGGGAGCTAAAGTCATTCTCTCCAGCCATCTGGTGAGTGTACTCTTTGTTTTGTTGTATCTGGAAATTGATTCGTAGCTGTAAAGCTGTTTGAATTGATTGATGGGTTAGTGATTAGTTAATGGAATTTGTAGAGAAGAGGTTAAGGGATGTTAGCTGTGATGGTACATTGCATGTAATGGCAATTGGGTTTTTATGTTCTTGATTAGCCATCCATGGAAACTTGAAATCCGGGTTCAAATTCTTCTTTTCACTAACAAAAACTCTTGAAAGTACACTGTTTATGCTGCACAAGCTTGTGGTATCTGTTCTTAAACAATCAAAATTTTCAGGGACGACCAAAAGGAGTGACTCCAAAATTCAGCTTGGCACCTCTTGTGCCTAGGCTTTCTGAGCTTCTTGGCATTCAGGTACCTTTTTCTTCTGCACGATATGAAACAAGGGCTTCTTTATTGTTAATTATCACCTTTAAACATGTTCTGTATCTTATGTTCAATCAGGTTGTGAAGGCTGATGACTGCATTGGTCCTGAGGTTGAAAAATTGGTTGCTTCCCTACCCGAAGGTGGAGTCCTTCTCCTTGAGAATGTGAGATTCTACAAGGAAGAAGAGAAAAATGAACCCGAGTTTGCGAAGAAGCTTGCATCTCTAGCTGATCTTTTTGTAAACGATGCATTTGGAACTGCCCATAGAGCTCATGCTTCAACCGAGGGAGTCACCAAGTTTTTGAAGCCTTCTGTAGCTGGTTTTCTCTTGCAAAAGGTTGGATCCTTTAATCGACACAAACCTGCTTGTTATATTTTCGTTTTCACTGATCTTGAATATAACTGGTAACTGGTCTCAGATTATGAGTGGCCTGATCTTCGTCATGTTATTCTTTTCCTACGTATAATGATTTTTAACCATGTGGGTAATGGCTTCAGGAACTCGACTATCTAGTAGGGGCCGTGTCGAGCCCCAAGAGGCCATTTGCTGCTATTGTTGGTGGTTCAAAGGTCTCTTCAAAAATTGGAGTGATAGAGTCACTTCTAGAGAAGTGTGACATCCTACTCCTTGGTGGTGGAATGATCTTTACATTCTACAAGGCACAGGGACTTTCCGTTGGTTCATCTTTGGTGGAAGAGGATAAGCTTGAACTAGCAACCTCCCTCCTCGCGAAGGCGAAGGCGAAAGGAGTATCCCTTTTGTTACCAACCGACGTCGTCATTGCAGATAAGTTTGCTCCAGATGCAAACAGCAAGGTTTGTTTGTAAATCTTGTTCTTAGATCCATTTCTCAGATCAATACAGGGCTATAGAAATACAAGCTTCTGAATTTTTATTGATTGATTCGAATAGTGGCTTCGTTTTCCAGTCTTTTCGAAACTTTTAAAACGCTCTACGGAATAGGGAAATAAAAAACTTGATTCTTACCTTGCAGATTGTCCCAGCATCTGCTATCCCTGATGGATGGATGGGGCTGGACATTGGACCAGATTCCGTGAAGACATTCAATGATGCTTTGGACACTACCCAAACTATCATCTGGAATGGACCAATGGGAGTGTTCGAATTCGACAAGTTTGCTGTCGGAACAGAGGTAATGAAAAACTTCTCCATGGTGATTAAAATGCACTTTACATTGATGTCATTATCGTACTGACTTAACCAAGGAGCGTGTCGTAACGCTTCTAATGTTCACGTTATAAAACACGCCTTCCCCTATTGTTGACTGACCTTTATGTATCTGTTATATTGCTGGATTTGAGATCGCGAGACGTAAAAACCAATGTAGTTCAACGTGTGTACAGTATGTATAGTTGATGTGTTTATGTGGTCAGTACCGAACTGAAATATGCGCTTGGTTGCAGTCAATTGCTAAGAAACTTGCAGAGCTTAGCGGGAAGGGGGTGACGACCATCATCGGAGGTGGAGACTCGGTTGCAGCTGTGGAGAAGGTGGGAGTTGCGAGCATTATGAGCCACATTTCGACTGGTGGGGGTGCCAGTTTGGAGTTGTTGGAAGGCAAAGAGCTACCCGGTGTCCTTGCTCTCGATGAGGCGGTACCCGTGGCCGTGTAGGTGATGGAACATTCCATTTAATTTTTTTTCTTCTCCTTTGCAACTGAATGCTTGAATTGCAATGTGTAACAGAGAAATATATTGGTGTAGAAATAAGAGTTTTTGTTGTAAAAGTGGTAGCGTTCTGTCTCTCTGCATTTGACATTCCCTTGCCGGCTGGGAACAGACCGTAGGGATAACAACTGTTCTAAGAGTTGTAATAAATTTGTGCATCAATCTCCCATTTTCCTCTGTATTTTCACGTTTTTCGAGACAATTTCAGAGGAACGAGCAAGGTTTACACCTTTATAAAAAACGTTTCATTTTCCTCTTTTGGGGCCTAGCGTCCTCTCTGGCACTCGTTCCCCTCTCCAATGGATGGCACAATCCACCCTTCTTCGAGACCCAATCCACCCCTTTTGGGGTTCAGTGTCCTCGTCAGCACTCTTTCCCTTCTCCAATGGATGTCACAATCCACCCTCCTACGCCCAGCGTTCTCGTTGACACTCATTCCCCTCACCAATCGATGTCACAATCCACCCTTCTACGTCCAGCGTTTTCGTTGACACTTATTCCCCTCTCCAATCGATGTCACAATCCACCCCTCCAGGGCTAATATCTTCGCTGTCACTCGCTCCCCTCTCCTATCAATTTGAGATTTCACACAATTCACTCCTTCGAGGCCTAGCGTTAATTCTATACCAAAATAGAATAAAATTAAAAGATTAGAGACTAAATTGAGTTGAGATTTAATCCTGATTGTTAATATCGTTGCATTTTATGTCGTTTGCATGGGAGTGGTTTCCGAACACACCCACCCATTTCAACGAACCAACCGCCAAATGGCGGGTCGCCGTCAGGCCCGATAACGACCACCCTAGCTTTCGCTTTAGGCCGCGGTCCCATCACCAAAATAAAAATGATATTTATTAAACAAATCACTATTATCCGACGTGGCATCCTTTTACTCGGTTCCAGTGACCGGCACCGGCAATACGCCGCCGTCTCGCCACCTACCACATCAATAGTAACGCCATCGGGCCATTAAAAAAATAAAGGCCGCAGACTTTGGGAAATCCGTCATCCCGCTTCCGTTTCTCTGCGAGGGTTGTTCGTTTTGGGAGCGTGTCCTTTTTCGTTCTCGTCGTCGTTTCTTCTTAGATCAGCGACGAAGCTATACAGCGATGGCCTTCTCATCCTCCTTTGCTGGATCTGCTGTTTCCTCTTCTCTGATCCAAGCGTCTCGTTCTGACTTCTCGCCGTCCGATTGCCGGAAGGTTGGTTTTCTTTGACGGATCATTACTTGTTTCCATGCTTCTATTTAGTGACGGACTGATAGTGGTTAACTGCATCTTTTGCTTGTATCTGCAGGCTTCATGCGTCGGGCGCTCTTTGAAGCTTCAATCTGCCATTTTCGGAACTACTATCTCGAGTGGGGCGTCTTCTTTACATTTAAGGTGAAGCCCGGCCTTCATCGAATGTGTTTTTCAAATACTGTATTCATTTGAATGGATTGCTTACGTTTCCGTATTGGATGATCTGATTTCGTAGCTAATTTGTTTCGGGAATGTTAAAACGTGAATGGCAGGACATCTAAAAATCGCACCGTTCAACCCATCAAAGCTACGGCCACTGAGGCACCTCCGACGATCCGAAGTAATTTTTTATTCTTCTTTTTTCCCTCCAAGAAACGTTGATAGTTTCAATTTGTCAGTTTCTGACTATTTGATCATTGTTCCTCCCCCCCTGCTGGTTCATATTCAGAAACTCCGAGAAGTGGGAAGACCAAGATTGGAATCAATGGTAAGAACTTTCTTTATTGTAGTTGTGTAACTACTCGTTTGTGTTGAGAATTGTTAGGAGAGAGTCCCACATTGACTAATTGAAGGAATGAGGCCTTTTGGGGAACCAAAAGCAAAGCCATGAGAGCTTATGCTCAAAGTGGACAATATCGTACCATTGTGGGGATCTGTGATTCCTAACCGTTTCGTGGTTTAGTAGAAACATCTTCTACAAGATTTCGAACGCTTACTTTCTCACTTAATGACAAATAACTTAATAGAAGAAAATAGACAAAGAAGAAGAATAAGATTAGTGAACAACATTACCGCGTATGAGAATGAAGCAAAATATACTCTAGAATGGGACAAAGAGAAATTGTGATATAGTTCTAATGCTGTGGTTCCTTTCCAATAATGTTCATGGAACAAAGAGAAATTTATGATGACTCACTATACAGGTTTTGGTCGAATTGGAAGACTGGTATTACGAATTGCAACCTCCAGAGATGATGTTGATGTTGTAGCCGTTAATGATCCATTTGTTGACGCTAAGTATATGGTATGCATTAGTTTAGTCAATGAACCATTTGGATACTGTGAACATAGGGTGCATTGGTTTAGTTAATGATCCATTTGGATTTTGTTATCCAGGCTTACATGCTCAAATACGATTCTACTCATGGTATTTTCAATGGAACCATCAAGGTTCTCAGTGATTCAACCTTGGAAGTTAATGGGAAGCAGATCAAAGTTGCAAGCAAAAGGTAGTAACTGAATATTTGCTTCTCTAAAATATTTTGACCTGTAAAATTCTTATGATATCATTTTGTATGCTTTTGGTTGATTCTAAGGCAACTAAACTCCACTAGAGACTGATTCTTGTGATTTTTTGTGCTCAGGAACCCTGCAGAGATTCCTTGGGGTGATTATGGGGCTGAATATGTTGTTGAGTCCTCAGGAGTTTTCACTACAAAAGAGAAGGCTTCAGCACACTTGAAGGTTGTTTTTGATTGTTGATACGTCAATCTCTCTCCTGTTTTAATTTCTTGCTTATCTCTTCTGCTTTGATGTTTTGAACACCAAGTTGACAATTTATAAATATGCACTGCAGGGTGGTGCTAAGAAAGTTGTAATTTCAGCTCCATCAGCTGATGCACCTATGTATGTAGTTGGTGTTAACGAAAAAACTTACAAGCCGACGATAGATATTGTCTCCAACGCAAGTTGTACTACAAATTGTCTTGCACCTCTCGCGAAGGTATGAATGAAACCCCCGAATGTGTTGAGTATTTGGAGTGTTGTTTCTAGAATATGTGGAGTTTGTTGAGAATTGTTGGGAGGGAGTCCCATGTTGGCTAAGAGGATGATCATGGGTTTATAAGTAAGGAATACATCTCCATTGGTACGCGGCCTTTTGGAAAAACCGAAAGCAAATCCATGAACTCTTATGCTCAAAGTGGACAATATCATACGATTGTGGAGGTTGTGGTTTCTCACATGATATTAGAGTCATCCTAATCGAATCCTCAAGTGTCGAATAAAGAAGTTGGTAGCCTCAAAGGTGTAGTCAAAAGTAAATCAAGTGTCGAACAAATGGTGTATTTTGTTTGAGGGCTTCAGAGAAGGAGTTGAGCCTCGATCAAGGGGAGGCTATTCGAGGGCTACATAGTCTTCAATGGAGGCTCTATGGTGTACATTGTTCGAGGGGAGGATTGTTGAGGATTGTTGGGAGGGAGTCCTAATTAAGTGGATGATCATGAGTTTATAAGTAAGGAATACATCTTCATTGATACAAGGTCTTTTAGGAAAACCAAAAGCAAAGCCATGAGAGCTTATGCTCAAAGTGGACAGTATTATATTATTGTGGAGGTCGTGGTTTCTAACTGAGTTCAGAGTAGACTAACATCTAATTTTCGCTCCATCTAATAAAATACAGCCTGCTTGACTCAAATTGTATGCTATGTCATGTAGGTTGTTCATGAGGAATTTGGCATTGTTGAAGGTCTAATGACAACAGTGCATGCAACCACAGGTCTTTCAGTCTCTCGCTCTCTCAAACTCTCAACTTATTTCACGTGTGCCAATTGTGTTCTTTTTCTTTTTCAGCAACACAAAAGACTGTCGATGGCCCTTCAATGAAGGATTGGAGAGGTGGCCGGGGTGCTGCACAAAATATAATTCCTAGCTCTACTGGTGCTGCCAAGGTATGTGGCTTCAAAAATTGATAGACCTTTCTTATGGTTTTGATAATCAATTGAAAAGGACAGTTTTTCTTCTTTGAACTTTTAACAACTGCAGGCTGTTGGTAAAGTTCTTCCAGAGCTAAATGGAAAGCTTACTGGAATGGCTTTCCGTGTCCCAGCACCCAATGTATCTGTTGTGGACTTAACTTGCCGACTTGAAAAAAGTGCTTCATATGAAGATGTAAAGGCAGCGGTAAAGTATGTGTCATGCACCCAACAACTGTGCCTTTCATTAAGTTCTTAATATGTTTGATAGCCATTTGGCAACTCTTTCAATACTTTTTAAAGGTATGCATCCGAAGGTCCATTGAAAGGCATTCTTGGGTATACCGATGAGGATGTTGTCTCTACTGATTTTCTTGGTGACTCCAGGTGCAACTTTTTCCTGCATATTCAACTCAACTTATGTGGCTGAATAACATGTAGTTAGTAATTGAAATATTCATTATTTAATTGTTGTTAGATCAAGTATATTTGATGGAAAGGCTGGAATAAGCCTCAGTGCCTCATTCGTGAAACTGGTGACTTGGTATGACAATGAATGGGGATACAGGTATTCTCTCCTTCTACTTCACATATTTTCACTAATTCTGGGGATGGCTCATCAACAACTATTGCTCGTCTTTGCAGCACCCGAGTTCTGGACCTTATCGAGCACATGGCATTGGTTTCAGCCTAAAACTAAATGATAGTCTTGTGATTTTTGGTCGTAAGTAAGTTGATTGAAGTGAGATAGGCGTCTATTTCTTCTTGGAATGCATTCATTCGAATGCTGTTTAGACCACAAGAAGCTCGATAGATCATAGAGCTTGAAATAAGGGAATGTTTGACATTTAAGAGCAAACTCTTCCAGTTAACCATTCCTCTGTTTATCCTCTGTATTCCACTATTTTGTTTACATTGGTTAATTAAATAATTATAAGCAGATAAGCACAGATCATTGGCTCTTTTTCTTCCGGTGTAAGCAGCTGCAGCACTTTTGAGACAGATGTCTGCCCGCAACATGGTTTGTTTTTTCTCTGTTGGATCTTTGACAACGGTCATCTAAATTGGATTGTGATTCAATTGCTGGGATTTTGTCTGTGGACACACACGTCACGTATCATAATAGCATAAATGTTGAATACAATAATTGAGGTGACAGTTTAATTTGGTGAATTAGGTTCAACAACTCCATTATGTCAATACAAAAAAATTGGCTAACTCATCTTACCTCTATTCAATTTCTTCTTAATCAGTTTAGCGTTCGGGTCGATGCTATTGTCTCCTTCTGAACATTCTCACCGAGGCAATCTCAGTGATTCTTGCTTTTACAAGGAATTTTGATGAAATTTTACATGTATTGTAATATTCTTCACCTTAGTGTGGGATATGCTAAAATCCATTGACATCGAGTAAGTGTCGTTTGAACTATCTATTGACATCAAAAACGATTCAATTGTTTATTTTGAGAAAACAGAGAACAAGAAAAATAATAACTATCAGTGGATAAGCAAAACAAGGGGAAACAAATATTATCAATATTTCTACCTTGGTTTTACCCCAACAATGCTCCCACCATTGAAAAGTTCTTCCATATGATAGATACCAAACAATCTTAAAAAAGACTTAAAAATGCACCAAAGTTGAGAAAAGCATCGACGATTATGTCAAACTTATAGGAAAACACGTAAGGTCCTACAAAGCAATTCCCAAAACCAGGTATTTCAATTATTTAAAGCAAACCTCTAACTTTCTACAACACTCGAATTCATAATGCATGCAAAATCATCCCTTTCCTAAAATATAATCCAACCCTTTCCATGCCATTGTTAACTGAATCCACTCTTCTATATTATATTCATCCCATCCAACTTAGTCAGCAACACTGCACCATCGTCTTTCTCTTTATAATGATCTCTCTGGTTTAGGTTGTAGAAAATCGGTTCCTTATAACCAGATTCTCAGTTGGGTTCATCAGCATAAAAATGGCAGATAATCCCAGAACAGATTCATTCAGAACAGAACTTTTGTCCCCTGAGGGTGTGGCTGCCGGAAGAGATGGAATGGTGTCAAAGGTGCCCTCGTGGCGACTTAATATGGACGAGTTCCATTTGCCTGCAACCAACAAGATATCTCATCATGGCATTGTTTATTACTGGAAGTCATGGAGTAAGCTTTTCAAATGCATTCTCTTATCATTTCTAGTTCCTGGATAAAGTAGTTCTATCATTACTTCAGTACGTTCAACAGAAAAACTTGAGTTTTGGAGGTGAAACTAATGAGCGTTTTTATCTTGACCCTAGAGAGACAAAGAAATGTTGCTAAGTACTATGAAAGGCAAGAAAGTCTTCTCAAAGGATTCAATGAAGTTGACTCCTACAATGAACTGGGCATCGTGCCAGGAACCTTAACTGAGGTATCTCTCTTTTTAATCTCTCTAAACTTGCACCTTCTTATGCTCTCAGATAAGACACATTCAACTAGTTTCTAATATACCAGGATGAAAAGAAGCATGAGGCCAACAGTGAGAGAATGGCAATATATGCATCCAACATAGCCAACATGTTGATCTTCATCGCAAAAGTGTATGCTTCAGTTGAGAGCAGATCACTAGCAGTTATAGCATCAACACTAGATTCCCTGTTGGATCTTTTATCAGGGTTCATATTATGGTTTACAGCTAATGCTATGAGAAAGCCAAATCAGTATCGTTATCCTATTGGCAAGAATCGGATGCAACCAGTGGCAAGTCATCTCTATTAACAAAATTTAGTTATTGAATTAGTAGAAAGAGTCTCTGTTGAATCAAGAATGTGAATGATTGTCTAAGAAAATAGAGGCTCCCAATGGAGAAATAGCACCTAATATTTTTCAAGGTTAAAGCAAAAAACTCTTTAACGTTGTCATACAATCAATAGTTCACCAGCATAAAAGAAAGTCAAGTCATGTTAGAACAAATATAGAAGAAAGCAAAATAGTATGGACTAACCTTCCAAATTTATGCCAGGGTATTGTCGTGTTTGCATCCATCATGGCAACTCTTGGAATACAAATTTTGCTTGAATCAGCTCGAGAACTTATTTCAAAGGTAAGCAAGTATGATTATCAATTGATACAAAAGAACACACCAGTAATTTCTCCATATGATTCGTCTATGAATTGTTGCAGGTTCAACCAGATAGAGATCCAGATAAAGTAAAATGGATGGTTGGAATAATGGCATCCGTAACAGTAGTGAAAATTTGCCTTACAATCTACTGCCGCAAATTCGCAAATGAAATCATCAGAGCCTATGCCCAAGATCATTTCTTTGATGTAATTACCAATTCAATTGGTCTTGCGACTGCCCTTTTGGCCATCAAATTCTACTGGTGGCTTGATCCCCTTGGGGCTATCCTAGTAAGTTAGCCACACACAGTATTCTTATCTGATTTGACTATTTATACTCGCTAAATATATTTCAACACTAGTTACATCTACATTTATATAATAAATATAGATAGCATTGTACACTATCAGCAACTGGGCGAAAACTGTGATGGAAAATGTATGGTCACTAATAGGAAGGACAGCCCCACCGGACTACTTGGCCAAGTTAACATATCTAGTATGGAATCATCACGAGGAAATCAAACATATTGATACAGTGAGAGCATATACCTTTGGGTGCAACTATTTTGTGGAGGTGGACATAGTGTTGCCTGGTGAAACGTCTCTAAGTCAGGCACATGACATAGGAGAATCACTTCAAGATAAACTTGAACAGCTTGATGAGGTTGATCGTGCATTTGTTCATGTGGACTTTGAGTTCACTCATAAGCCAGAGCACAAGCCTAAAGCTTCATAGAAAGGAAAGTGGCAAATAACGAATATGTATGCTGCATGAATTCCTGAAAGAGAGTGGTTTGAATTGTGGTTATCTCTAACTATTCAATTGTTTGAATTATACATATGCTGTACACAATTTTCAGCTTTCCAATAAAAAAATGGATTTGCCTTCTAATGATTAACATTTCACTGAAAGTCCTACAAAAACTAATGACAAGTCAACTCTGTCACTGTCGTATAACAAAATTTGACTGAATGTCCTGCAGAAACTTGTCGCAACAAAATAACATCTCTGGTTGTGGATTTAAAGCCAAAGCATCCAACATTTCAAATGGAGAATCCATTCAGTGTCTGACAACATCAGGAGAACTAATGCAGCAATAGAAATGAAAACAATAACACTCAACAAGAAGCATCAACTCTCAATGATCGATCATAAGCCAGACAAACATCCCGAGTCTTTCTATATAATTGGAGATCTAGATGACTCTTAAACAATCCATTAAACAACCATGGAAACGGCATCCTTCTTGGGGGGAAACACTACATTCTTGTTTCCAGGAAATGCATTACGAGAGATGTCTACCAGAGCCTTGAAACTATAAGGTTCGTGCATTGACAGCTCTGATAATACTTTTCTATTTAGTTGAACGTTCTCCTTCATCAGCCCATGCATAAAATTGCCGTAATTTACCTAATATGGTAGGGAAGGAGATAAAAGGAACATTAGTATCTCTACAGAAGAGTCTATTAAAGTAGCAAGAAGCAAATTGATTGTGCAGAACACAAGTCTACAGCAAAATCAAACCATTCATACAAAAAGTGCTAAAATTTACAAATCGCGTGAAATTTATGCGACTTCTCCAGGCAGGTCAAGTTGGCTTACAATTACAGAGATGAATTGTAGAAAGAATGAAAGGGGCAAGTTCAGAAGCTAGAATTATGGGATGTGGGAATATCAGAGGAAATTAGAATTTGATGCGAGAATATCAGAGGTTCAGAAGCTAGAAGTGTTCCTCATTTTAGATGGAATATTTTCGCTAACCTTTTAATTTCATTGTTGGTTTCTTACTTTGCGGTATTCAAATGAGGAACATTCAAGGAAAATAAACATACCCCATGAAGGCGCGTGCCAGCATTGATACGTTGTATCCAAAGGGAGCGCATATCCCGCTTCTTATTGCGACGGTCCCTGTAGGAATACTGAAGAGCCTTCTCCACCCTCTCTCTGGCAATCCTTATGCAATTCTTAGCCCTACCTCTGAAACCCTTGGCTAGCTTAAATATCTTGTCCTTGTTCATCTTTTTTCCTTGCTATGCTCTGCACCTTTACATACTCTTCAAAATCAGTAATTGATCAATCATATAAGAACATCTCATGATCCAATCAAAACAAATTATAAAGTCAAAAACCAAGTACACTCAACAAATAATGTCGAACAACGCGATTTTCAAATCTTCAGCTCTAGATATTTGATTGAGTTTTTCCAGTGCGAAGAAAGATATAGATGCAAGAAAAGGGAAGAAAATCACTGCAAACCTGTTAGAAGGGAGGTTTCGACGGAAAAAGCGGAAGAGAGACGGCAGCGGCGACGCTGAGCTGCTGAAAGGGAAGAGAAGACGGCGGGAAGAAGGTGGTGAGAGGAAAGAAGAAGTTTTAGGTATAAAATTATAGAAAATACCCTAAATTACTGAAAATAACAATTTTCACCCTAAATTGCTGAAAATAACAATTTTTGCCCTAAGTTTTGTATTTCATCTAATTAAACCTTCATATTTCATAGATGTTGCGAATTTTACCTTCAATTTAATAATTATTGCAATCATATTATATAAAGCATGCATGTATTTATAATTACAGGTTTCTAATGAATTATAAAACATATAAACTATTAAATTCACCATATATATATATATATATATATATATATTATTTTAATTATTTAATTACTTAAGTCCAATTTTTTTTTCCAATAATCTAAATTTAATCAGACATATCATAGACACAAAATTAAAAACTCGCGAACCTATTAGATACAAAATTGAAAGTTTAAAAATATTTGAAGAGTTTAATACACTACAAATAATTTAAATAATTTCAAGAATTTCAGACCGGAAGAAACACTGCAAATGATTTTAAATACAGTCATTGATAATATTAAAAATACAAGTTAAACCATTAATTCAAAGGGTGTTTTAAATTTCTTAAAGTTTCAATTAAAACAAGTTATAAGGGATAGGATTGGGTTTGGAATTGGGTGTCGTCCGAATTCCCGCTCAAGAGATAAGAGGAAGGAGTTACCTGGCCTCATCGACAAACGCCGAAGCATGCAGCAGCTTCAAGCCCGCTTGCTAAAGTCTCTTTCAATTTCTTCTTCACCGGCCGCCTCAACAATCCAAGAAATCGCTTCCTCTCGCCCCAAAGGTCAGTCTGTGATTTACATCCCTCGTTTGCGACCTGCAAAACAAATGTCGATTGTCCCAATTCGTTTATGTTTCTTCCCCGCATTTAGCTTCTGCTTCGTCAAAATCCATGTTTATCGATTACGCTTTTAAACTGGTCATATTGATGGGATACTGGTAATGCGATTGTGTAAAGAATTGTGTTGAATTTGGGGGTTTCAGGTTTATCCAAGGTTGTGCTAAAAAAGGGGAAGACACAACTCTTTAAAGATGGGAGTCCGATGGTGTACAGTGGAGCTGTTGATAGAATAATTGGAAGGCCGCCGCCAAAAACTGGAGATGTTGTCCTGGTAGCCGATGGGGCTGAGAAACCTATAGGGTGGGGTTTGTATAACTCAGTTTCCATGTTCTCTGTCAGATTGATGCAGCTGGAAGAGGAGGCAGCTAGGTACTTAATTGGGCAATGCTTGAACTCTGTGACTAACATCACCTTCTTTATGTGGTGCTAAGTTTCTAATTTATGCAATCCAGAGATCCTTCGTGCACATTAGATATGCAGAAACTGATTGAAACCAGGATACATATTGCTAGAGAATTAAGAAAGAGCTTGGGACTTCCGTCGGCAAGTACGAATGCATACCGTCTCGTTAATAGTGAAGGAGATAGGTATCGACCTCGAGTATTCTGTTCATGTCTTCATACATTATGCATTCCCTATCTGTAAAATTTGATTAAATCTAGCACCACCATACATTGATCTTTGTTCTTAAGCATTTTGAAAGTCATTCCATACCGACCCAACTCTTTCTGTTTGCATGTGCGCGCATTCAGAGGGAGGGGTGTGTGAATCTCTTAGACGGTAAATAGATTGTTTGTGTACTGGAACCTATAATAGCCTTATCCAAATGTCCTAGAATTATTGTTTTTTTTTTTCTTTTTGGCAGATTGTCAGGACTAATCATTGACGTCTTTGGAGATTTAGCAGTTGTGGCATCATCGGCTGCTTGGGTGGAGAAGTACAAAGCTGAAATCGAGGACTGTGTTCGTGGAATTGATGAAATCAATCATGTCAAATGGAGACCATCGGTGGAAATTCTGAAGGAAGAAGGGATAGATGTGTCTGAATTGAAGGATACAAATCCGTCTAATTGTCCTGAAAGAACAAAGGTAACAAGCGACTGCAACACTTGTACTGTTTCAAGAAATGCTCTATATCATGTTCATGGTAACTAAATGTTAAAAATGTGGAGCCCTTTTGATGAGTAAACTGATCTTACATGCTTGAATAATCATCAATGAGTATCAAAGATTTGGAAACTAGGAGATAAGAGTTGCTGATATAAGTAAGCTTTATGCACAAATCCTCACTGGGATGTGTTCTAGCAGGTGGAAATTCTTGGTAACAAGAGAAGCTATGAGGGTATCATGTTAATGTAGAAAGTAGTTCAAAAGCTATATAATACATACAACCAAGTTATTACCACAAAATCAGATGAGATATTGAACATGCCTTATTCTGATAGGTAACGGAGAATGGAATTTTCTATGCCATTTCACTTGAAGGCCAGAAAACAGGGTTTTATGCTGATCAGCGTGAAAATCGTCATTTTATCTCAACAATTTCTGAGGGTCAAAAAGTTCTTGACCTCTGCTGCTACAGTGGTGGGTTTTCTCTTAATGCAGCACGTGGTGGAGCTATTAATGTCACCGGTATACATTTTTTCTTGTCTTCTATTAAAGCTTTTAGATCAAATGTTTAGGAGAGTATGCTGTGGCAAAGTCACTAATTATTCATACTTAGAAAAAAATTCAATCTTTTGTGTGTGTTTATCTGTTGCTATCACGGAAAAGAAACAGGATTCTCTAGCCTTGAATACAGTGGTACTATTCTCATAAGTTCGCTAATTATCAGGTATTGATTCATCACTGCCTGCTCTGGAGCTAGCAAAAGAAAATGTAATCCTTAATAGTATGGATCCTGACAGAATATCATTTTTGAAAGCTGATGCCACTACATTCATGAAGGATGCTCTATCTAGGAATGAATGTTGGGATATAGTCATTTTGGATCCTCCTAAACTAGCTCCACGAAAAAAGGTATGATGCATTTGATTATTTTTCCTGTTACGGAAGTTCTTTGATTAATTAATTCTATGATCTTACAAGTTAGGCCCCATGTGAAATACTGGTACAAAGTGAACATAAGTTCTTAATTCTTTGATTCTGTTCACTCTTACAAGTTAGAATCCACGTGAAATCCTATTAACTATTTGGTGTGGGTGGTTTTTAAACGTCAGAAAGTTGTGGATTTTAAGATGATAGATCAAATTGTTCAATACATCATCCGGGGCTTGTTTTGAAAGTATCAAGTTTGTTAACATTCATTGTCTGCTTGTCTAAACGACCCAAGTCTATTATCTATTCTACCTGTGCTTATTAAAAATTTGTTTGCTTCATCACCCTACTAACTAAAACTTAGTAGGTTCTACAAACTGCATCAGGCATGTACAGGACTTTAAATTCATTAGCAATGCAACTCACAAGGAAAGGTGGTCTTCTCATGACTTGTTCATGTTCTGGAGCAATGACTCAGAGTGGGATGTTCCTGCAAACACTCCAGGCAAGTCCAGTTCCGCCCCCACCAACCATGAAAACAAATCATCACTATTACTTATTTCAACGCCTTAGAAACATTGTTTGGTAATTATATAGTTTCTATACCTCATGATCTTGACTTAAACTATATGAAGAGTTATTTAGGATAATATCTACGTGTCATGTACGAAAAGAACCTATTCGGCTTGTTTAAGAAAACTAAACTGGTTTGTACTGCCCCTTTCATTTAAACAGGGTGCAGCATCAATGGCCAAAAAGCAAATCACGGTCCTACGACAAGCAGGAGCAGCATGTGATCACCCCATTGACCCTACTTACCCAGAGGGTGCATATCTTTCTAATATCCTTCTACGTGTGCTCTAAACTTTATGAAG